TATTAATTTCTTTTTAACGAACTCGGGCTAACATTTGTCTTTGAGAACCCTCAGCTTTCAACCCATCTGAGATTAAAAGGCGAATTGAAGACCAGTATCTTCAAACTTGGCATTCGAATCTCGAGAATTCCAGCAAGCTCCGGTTCTATAAAAATTATAAATCTTCATTCGAGTTCGAATCGTATCTTGATGCAAACATCGGTGACAAATTCAAATTCCTTATTTGTAAATTTCGTGTCGGAAATCTGAAACTCCATATTGAAATAGGTCGTTTCAATAAAACTATTCGTGAGAAGAGATATTGTTTGTGTTGCAAGTCTAAGTACATTGAAGATGAATTTCACTTTCTTTTATGTTGTCCAACTTATAATATAATTCGCCGTCAGTTTTTCCACCGTCAATTCTGGTCATTTCCATCTTTATACAAAATACAAAATTTTCTTCGTAAACTATACCATCTAATATTCTAATAATTCGTCCACCGGCTTTCACTATTTCTTGAATATCGACCGATGTTAAAACGTCGTGACAGAAACCATTTCTGAACCTGATTTTGTTACCAGTTTCCTTTTTACCTTCTTTATTCGTGAAAGTGATTTTATCTTTAGCTGGTATCGGTTGGAAGAACATGTTTTTGGGATTGTCAAACCACACTGTTAAAATAGCTGTTCTAGGTCTGAATTTTTGTTTATTGAAGAGTTTTACAAATTCTTTTTCTTCTTCTGGTAGAAACGGTCTTCCACTTTCCGCTCTCGGATATTCACTGTCTAAATCCGACATGGCGGAAGCGTATAAACCGTTAGCATCAAATGCCATTAGTTTAGTACATTCTATTTTTTTAAGTCTCGAATGAACCTTCGTTTTGTCTTTTGTGCTTGCGCTGTATTCTTTGAATAAATCAATTATGTTATTACTTTCAAGTTCTGTATATTCCTTTAATACGTTACAAATTTCATCCATTTTGTTCGTTTCAAATGATTTTCTATTTGCCGAAACTCTTCCTCCTTTAATAGATCGTCTGATAAAATTTCTTATAAAAGGATTTGTGTGCGAATAAACTTTTTCTATATTTTCTTTTTCGGTATGTTTCGCAACCATTCTAGTAGTTTCATACCATTCTTCTTCCACCATTTCTTTATCGTAATGATATAAATAATACCAACCATTTAAAGATAAAGATGGAGCCGTTATATTATTGGACATATTCTGGTTTACAACTTCTTTCGTCACTTGGTTGTATTTTATCAAACAAGCTCCCAAACAGAGAGTGTCTCTCTTGGCGTAAGGTTCCCATTCGTGTCTCAATTCCTCCCAGTTGTCTCGCGTGTATTTAGCGATATCTACGTCGGCAATCTTTCTCAAATTCGCGGGGAGATTGGAAGAATTTCCCCATGCAGCCAAACTAGAGGATTCGTGTTGATAGGAACACGTGAAATTAATATGTTGTAAATAATTACCCTTTATTTCTTTCTGTCTTTTCCATTTTTTCTGTAAATCTTCATCAGTGTATGGATTAGATAAAGGAAAAGATAGAATTCCTCTGGGTGTTTTATAGGGCAATGCGTTAGTTTTTTTGCATTTTTAAGCACGATCCAGTTGTCGAATCCACTGCCGTTATGAGAAATTAATATTAATCTCTTTCTATCATATTGACCTAAATATTTCAACATTTGATCGATGCAATCTGTACCTACAAATATTTCTACTACATTCATTAGTTTATCATAAAATTCTTCTGGAAGGGGATCTGACGGCTTTAAATCTGGAAAGAGATTATTTATTCTGTTTAACATTTTCCTTACTTTTTCTAAATTAATTGAAGTGCAGGCATAAGGAATTGCTCTTCGCGTGTCTTTTTCTGAATACGTTTCGCAATCCCAAGCGAATAACGCATCATCACTCATACTCGAAAGCACGTTTAGTTTGAGGGGTGAAACCTGTGTTACTGCGTTGTCGTCTCTACACGTTTTCCACACCTGTTCGTAATTGTCTTCTATTTCTTGAATTCCCAAACTTTTTTGGCTTCTTCTAATCAAACAGAAATGCGAGTTGTGTAAGTACAAAACCCAATCTAATTCATCATGAACGTCTCTGGGGTGAAAATGTCTGTTTTTGGGATTATAAATTTGAAACGAAGTGTTAAATTTCTTGTTGAATTCATTCATTCTAGCACAAGTCATCACTCCTTTTCTATTTGCTTTTGAAAACCCGTTGATGTATTCTTGAAATTTACACGTTAAATCTTTGTTCAAAACACGATTGACGCATTTGATAAAACAGTGACCATCTGTAGATATGTAACAATTTTCGCCTTCGTATTCATTGATCTTTTTAAGCAGATCAGTTCCTCCTCTGCCAACCCTCGATCTTTTTATTTCTTGGAAATTGTCTTTCATTAAAATTATTTTTCCTGTAAAATACCAATCGGAAGCATCGGATTTTTTGTCCATATTTGAAAAGATATTGTGAAAGGTTTTGGCATTGAAACCGAGGAGTGACATGTATTGTCTGTGATTCCCTTCCTCGACTATCTCTCCATCTATTTTAATTTGTCCTTTGAATGTTTTAAATTTATCAGACATAGCCTTGATAACATCGGAAAATAGGGCATTTTCTATCAATGTTTCATCAAGTTCGATTTTATTCATATTTTTTTAAGTATATATTTTTGATTATTTCTTTATTTTGACCGCTGATATTTCTGTATGGAATTTGTCCAAAATTTCATTGAATTCTTGTAATTCTTCAACTGTTATGTTCTTGTCTTCTCTCGATCTTTCGAAAAAGATGTACAATTGATTAAGATACATATTCAAGATATCCGTTTTCTTTTTATAATGAGCTTTCTTTTTGCTCGTGAAACCTATAGCAATCAAGCCACAAGATGAAGTTTGAATAGCATTAATTGTGGCTAATACAGTTGGGACAAGTACAGGAACCATTAATCCACCAGTCACGGCCGTTGCAAGTGTTGTTCCTATCGTTAGAACTACACTCGCTGTTTTGAAAACAGAATCTATTCTACTCCATGTTTTCCTGCATGAATTGTACTGTCTCAACTTTATTTTCAACTCTTCTTGTTTGTCTATCATGTATTGTTGTCTGCTTTCGAGTTCCATTTTTTAAGTCGTTAAATTAAGTGAATTTCCGATAAATGGAACCACGGAATATCAAATAGAGTGAAGTCGTTTGGCCTAGTAATATTAAATATTCGGGTATTAAAAGTAAAAACATTTACGCGTACTAACGACATTTCTTTTTTCGTATGGTCCTCTTTAAGATGATAGGAATATTTTCTTTTTTTCTTTTTCGATGTTTATCTTGGCTCTAAAAATATAACCACCAGCATGAAGGATGGAGTCGGAACCTTCGACAAACGTTAAATGTACTATAAACTCTCGTTCTTGTTGACTTTTATGAACATCGATAGAGGTGTATTTTTCACCTAAAACAAAATACAGTTTTACGTATTCAAAGTCTGTTGTTCGTAAAAACTCGTGACTGCTCGATTCTATTTTTCCGTGTTCGTGTAAGCGTGGTGGAATTTTGTCAATGTTGGTTGATGGTGGATTTTCCGTCTCCAATATCATATCCAAATCTTTGATTCCAATGATATCCTTATCATTTTCTACTTCCATTTTAAAGGTGTCTACATATTTACCATTTTTCGTTTCAATTTCCTGATCCCTTTTATCAATCAAACGTATATTCTCTTCCAAATTACCATCATTGAATAATGAAATATGATTGACGCCCTTACCGGTTTGTTTTAAGACTACTTTATTGACTTTAACCTTCATGGGAAACTCTATTTGAATCAGACAATTACCTCGAAAAGAAAACTCTTGCGTTTCGCCGATATCGAATACGTTTTTAGGTTCACCGTATTCGAGAGAACCCACTTTTATTTCTGCTTTGAATCCGTATTTGTTTAATTTATAAATTTGGTCTTTTCTATCGAAGACAGTGTCACTTTCGAATGGTAAATTGAAATAATACGATTTGTCCGTGACAATAGCTTCTAATTTGCTCAACTTTCTCTCTTGTCTCAAAAAATCGTCATGAATTCTAGATACTAAAAGATTGACCTGTTCTTTAATATAATTTTTCATATCATCTCGAAATTATTTTGAAGAAAGTTTTTAATCACACCCACTTCTTTTTCTAATTCGTCCGTGATTTTAGTATCCAAAGCAGTCAATTGTTGTTTCAACGTATCTTTGTCAATGGGAAGTGTGTTAATTATATCTTGAACATCTGATTTTTGCTTCGCGATCTTTTCGTTCAAATTGGATATCGAATTTTGTAACTCGGTTTTGTCCGCGATCTTGTCTAGTTCTGCTAGCAATTCACCAAGTTTTCTTTCCAAAGCGGTTAGTTTTCGTTTCAATCTATCCTCGTTTACATTTGGTTTGTCTATTAAACGTTGGACGTCTATTTTTACCTTCGTAATCTTATCGTCTAATTTAGATATTAACTGACTTGTTTTATCCACTTGAATAAGACGTTTCAAACTCGTTAACTCTTGTTGTAGTTTGGGTTCGTCCACAAGATTTTTAATATTTCGTCTGATGAATCTTTTCACGTCATTTATTCTATTTTCAACATGGTCCTTATCTATTTGAATTGCGTTTATTTGATCCAGTAAATATTTCTTGTTCACGGCATCGTTATCGTTTCCTGGAAACTTTAAATTAGTTATTTTGAAATTGTTCATATCGATATCCCCTTGTAAGGTGTCTCCGATTTGATCCACGAAAAAAGGTTTCGCTTTGTTTATAAACGCC